ACAGTAGAAGTTCTTCCACCAGCAAGACCTGGGAAAAAAGCCACAATCCAAACTGGAGCCAAACCCCAGTGTTTTAGTTATATGTGCCAGACATGCCTTGTGTTCCTGAGGGGAAATGTTTGGCCATATCTAGTCCAGTATCAGATGAGTGACAAGCACATGAGAAATGATAAGCTATGCATGGCTGTGGCATTATGAGGTGCAAGTGTTAATGGGGCCTTTTTTGTGAGTAAATCGCTCAACTGCCCTAATGGATTGTCAGCATGTCTGAAAGCTGTCTCTTTAATCCATTGGGCATGCTTTGGCTCTTAAGATGTGCAGTATGATCCAAATGGCAACAGCTCTCTGTCAGCTGTCATTTGTTCTACATTGTTTGGAAGCCCATTACAAATGTGTGTGTAATGTTGCAAATAAAATAATCTTTCAGTTGCTCGCAAAGTTTTGCTGCTGGCTTTAATGAAGTTTAGTCCAAATTCATGTAAGGTTAGCAAAATTATTTAAGGCAGTTACACAGTTCTAAGTGACCATTTATTGGAGGATTGCAAAAAAGGGGAAATCTCAAAGCTACATATAGCTAGTGTACCCAATATTTAGCTTTATGTTGACATAACGTACCTGATTACAAATGCAAATCTGGAGATTTACTTTGCAATCTGAGATTTTCTTGTTGCAATAGTCTTATGGCAATATCATGGCTCTGAAAGAGAACGTGTGTTGGGGGAAAGGGGAATAAAGTGGTTTCATTCACCTCTCTTAACTGCCTGTCTTAAGTTGATGATATTCAGTAAAGGTTGATCGTAAACTAGGGCTTTCTTCCACAGGACCTTGCAATGGGAGCAAATGCAGAAGGGGAACCACTGAAAGATGCCATGAAGAGCATTGTTCCTGTGCTCTTAGATAGTGACATTGATGCCTTTGACAAAATCCGCATCATACTGCTGTTCATATTTCACAAGAAGAAGGGTAAGAAGATCTCAAAACATTTTAAATCCTTTTTAAGTCCTAATCTTGTTACATTGAAGAGAAGCTTTATTTGTCGTTACTTATTTATAGCAAACAGTGTTTTCATTGCCTGGTTGTCTATTCAGGCATTGGGGAGGAGAACCTTGCCAAGCTCATCCAGCATGCAAATATTCAGGCCGACAGCAACATTATTTACAACCTGCAGAACCTAGGCTGTAATATTATAGCTGGGGTAAGTTTGGCTACAGTCTCATGCTGTGGAACTGAGAATTTTATAAAACTTAAAAAAAAAAAACCCTTGATAATTTGACATACATTGTTTTTCAGGGTCGCAATTCTGGGAAAACACTGCCAGATCGTAAGCAGCGTACAGAAAGCACATACCAGCTTTCCAGGTGGACACCCACCGTCAAGGACATCATGGAGGTATTAAGCCCTAAGTGAGGTTTCAGATGTCACTGGCAGACCTGCTCACCTTTGCTCACAACACAGCTTTTATAACATCTGTTTCTGGATTACAGAATGCCATAGAAGACAAACTGGACAAAAAGCTGTGGCCATTCATCGCTGAACCAGCACCCATCAACACAACTCAGACTGCAGTCAGGTCGGTCGGTGCTCTCCCTCTATCTGAGAAATAAATAAATATATATAGATAGATAGGTAGATCTCTTTCCAAAACAGTTTGTATTTAGCAACAAGTGGGGTAAATGACAGATAATCTTATAAAATAAAACCTTTTATCCCCTTAAAACCTTTTAAATGAATCAGAGCCGAGCTTTTGACAAAGTGAAGTAGAGTTTAAAGGGTAAATTTCAGTCATTTTTGAATACTCTATAATCCCTAGGGAATTCCCATCATAATGATGGTGCTAATACTGACCACGCTTGTAGATCTAGATTTACTCATAATCTGTGGAATGTTCCGGTACTTTTCTACTTTTTAAGCAAAATGCAGAATTAACATGGAGAAGTTGATAATAATATAGACTGGCTATCCCCCCCCCCCCCAAAAAAAAAAAAAAAACAACAACAACAAAACAAAAAAGCTCAGGAGTTTCTGCTAGTATTTTCACATTCATACTTATTCATCAGGGTCAATTTCCTGACAACACGGTATGAAAATGAGCCATTGTATGACAGTTGTATTAATTATTGTTTGAAATAATAAATGTCAGAAAATCAATTAATAGCTGAAAGGGAGCTGTAGTTTTAGTAATAGTTTTATGTTTCTCAATCATTTTCGAAATTCTTTTACAGCAGTGCACGTTTTGGACACTGGCACAAAAATAAGTCTCCAACGGAGTATCGGTCTGGCCCTCGTCTCATTGTTTTTGTGATTGGTGGGGTGTCATACTCTGAGATGCGTTGTGCTTATGAAGTGACTCGAGCCACAGATGGGAAATGGGAAGTCCTGATTGGTAAGCAATTGCTAATTAAGAAGTTATGACTGATGAACCTGACTATTGAACTGCTATTTAAATATTGTTTTGTTTTGTTTTTGTTTTGTTTTTTTTCCTTGACAGGATCATCTCACATCCTAACTCCAACCAGCTTCCTCAATAACTTGAAGACTCTGGACAAAGATACTAATCCTGATCCGTAATCCCCAAGTTGGGACAGCAATACGGCAGTAGGAGTCTGGTTGTTCCTTTAAACTGATGTCTTTCTGTTGTCCTGTTTAGCTTCTCTGACATCTCTGATGTGAAATCTTAGATGTAGTCATGTAAGAAAGCAGTTGTGACTATTCTATTATAGTGTGCTCTTTTGTTGTTAGTTGGGTTCTGTATACTGCTGTGATTGAAATTGTATTTAAGTAATAAATGAAACAATATTAATGTTTAGATTATTCTATTCATATTTAAATTCTTAATTTTGTTGTAATTGACTTGCGTAGTTATTTAGTCAGAAATTCCAAAAATTGTCACAAAGAAAGAGCAGCTCTCTCCTCATAGAAATCTCTTAATTCAAGTATATTGTAGTTGCACACAATTGAAGGACATATTGTATATAGATTTAAAAGTAGAAAAAAATATTTTATTTTAGGTAACTCTCTCCGTCAACCCTCTTCTTGAAATTTTCATCTCAGTATCAATGTCAGAACTGCTGTGTTATGACCATTGCACATTTACTAGATACTTTAATATATTGCTGGGCGCTAGAGCAGTGGGTGCTTGTTTATTTGTTGATGAAAATGAGCAATAAAAAAAATAAATATATTGAATTTAATTTGTCTTGTTTCTTTTCTATAGGACCTTTTAGTATGCTTCAATATGCATAATATTTTCATTTTGTTAAAAAAATTATAGTTTGTTCATATTATGCTAAAAAGTTTACTAGTATTCTCCATATAGGTAAATTTTAACTTTATATTTTCGAAAACGTCTGCTGTTCTGTATAGGCCTCAACCCCCTAAGCCAGCTCATCACCAAGAGTGGATACATGATTCAGGTGTGGAGTGATCATTAACAACATGTACATGGGTGACATTAATCTGTATGCTAGGAATAAGCGAGTCATCAATTTACTGATCCAACTCACCAGATTCACAGCAAGGATATCAGGATGTCATTTTGACTAAATAAGTGTGACCGAAGGGTCACAAAAAGAGGAAAGGTGATCCACACTGGAAGGGGTGGAATTTCCAGAAGACAGAGTAGTCCTTACACAGTCCTTACCGGTCATTAGATACCCAGGTGGAATAATAAGCAGGCTTCAGGATGAGATGGATGTCACTGATGTCAACTCATTAAAAACTCCTCATAATGAGAGGTCCCCACCCAAAGTCCAGCACCCTTGGGGTCTGTGGCCAACAGGAAGTAGGAGAGTGAGGTTAGTGAGTGTTGGAATGGCATTCCAGGATGAAACAACGAACATTTTGCACTGACAGAGTGCTTTGGATATATATTCTGGTAAACAGCTCGACGTCATCCATGTGGAGGATATGGTAGACGATTGCTCCATTCCATAGTCTGTATCCATATCCATGTTAATGATCTGCCTGAGGGGGTTCAGACCTATGCAGAACAGAAATCCCACACTTGATGGTGACTTCTAGAATTGGCTGCAATTGTTGTTCTCTAGTGTTGATTGCTAATTCCCCATCAAATTCATGAGGAAGGCTCTGAATTGAATCCTGTTGATCTGATATTTTAGACATTCTAAGATTCATCTATGGGGCATTGAGTCATAGGCTTTCTTGTACTTAATCTGGACAGTGCACAGGTTGGTCAGTATGGTCTTATAGTCTCGAATGACTGCTCTAGGTAGCAGTAGCTGGTGATTTGACACTGGTGTTTTCTGGGATTTCATGTATTGAGCCATGTTCCTCTTTATTTTAGCTGTTATGATGACTGACTGGAGCTTCCATGTTGTACTGAGGCAGGTTACTGGTCTACAGTTAGACTGGGGACTAGTCCCTTCTGGGGATCGTACACCTTTGATGGTATACTTTTTTTTTTTTTAACCAAAGCTGCGAGTCTTTTCCTGGCAGTTTCTGAGGCCTAAAGGTATGGGCAGCTTACAGTACTTCTTAGGAGGATGGAGATGATGACACTTCTCCCTGACCTGAAGTCCTGGCTCCCCCTTCCTGTATCAATTGAGTTATACCACATAAATCTCTAGTTCTGATAGCAGTTGCTTCTTTCGCATGTTGGAAAACTGAGCTACTAGTTGTTTCATTGTCAGGTCCCACATGCTCTTCATGTAACCCCTTGCCTTGGGATTATAGTCATGGTACCATTCTAGCATTCCCGTTTGTCTATCTGCTGCCTGCCTGCTTGCTTGCTCTATGTGAAGTGAAAGTGGGGCCTTTAAAATGTAAACATGAACCTTGAGTAAAGTGTTAGGTCAGAAAGGAGAGCATGCACACCTACCACAAAAAAAAGATCATCCCTCTGAGGATTATGTTTTCATCTGGGATTACAGATGGCAATATGAAGAACAGGGCAGACGCTGAGGTCTTAATGGCAATCGGTTTATACTCAGGACTAAACTATTAAAACCCTTCTTCCGCTTCATATCCAGTACACACTGAGAGAAGCATCATTCGGTATCATTTCATTTATGCATATAACAGTTCATCTTTTATAGAAGTTTTTTGTAACACTTTTCTTGCATCTAGTTTTCATTTGGGGTTTATATTATTTTTTTCAGTTATTTTTTTGATGGCAGCTGCTGGGATGGATTCAAAATCTAAACCCTCTGATGTTCTGCTGGTAAGATGTCAGTGCAAAACTGATTTCTATGTTCTTGTTCTAATTATATAGGGAGGACTATATTCTTTAAATTTTAGAAATATATTAATTCTTCTAATTAGTTAAAGAAATGTGTGTTATCATTTTTAGTTCTTCATAATAGATACATGTATTGATGTAATACACTATAATTCATTTGTTTTTAATGTTCAATGTTAGCTTTACAGAATCTTTATTGTGATATTGGAAAAAGATTAGCCATTACGATGAATTATCTTTACATTAAGATTCACATTTGACCTTGAGTCAAGATGGTCTGAAAAAACTATTCATATTGAGAAACTATAATGTTGACAGTTCAAGCAATTTTAACAATCTCTATGCTGAATAGGAATCCCCAGAACTTGAGCAGATTCTGGACATAATGAGTTACTCACAGCGTGGACGAATGGACGGACAGTGTTGCACTCTAAGTCCTGCTAAAATAGAGACGACATCTGCAGGTTGGAATAGTGAAAATACCACAGTACAGTATACATCTCCCTTTTTTGGCCTGATTATTGATTGTTTCATTCTTGCTTCCCACAGGGTCAAAAGATGAGAGATCATCCCATACTTCAGATAATAAACAGGGACAATATGTCAACTCGCATTTATCGTTGCCTGGATTTAATTACCAAGTACTAGACTTATGACTATAATATGATGAGGGATACACTGTACAAGTAAAACTGATGATTAAATTACATCAGCTCTCAATTATTACCTGTTTTCTCAGGAAAGTGGACGTAATGATCATCATGTCTCTGCACCGCATATCTCAGTGACTGAGAGTACTTCAGATAGAAACAGGAAGCATCTGTCAGTTCCAGTTGACCAATTACAGATTCCTTCTCAACGTGAACGCTCAAATTCTATAAAGGTCTGTTAATGTGTTAACAAGTTATAACAGTGTTATTCTGATAGCTGTAACAATTAGATTTGTTGATGTTGACTTGTTTAATAATTGTTATCACATATACATCACCCCATTCATTGAGGCTTTATCATGCTGTTTTAACCCAAAAAGTCAGAATCATCTGCTGAACAGCAAAAGTTCATGGAGATGATTACCTATGGACAGCGTGGACGCATGGAGGACCAGTGCTGCTCATTGGATCCTAGCAAGAGTGCTCCTTGCACGCCCAGATACACAGAGAAAAAAACTGTTGCAAGTATGTTAAACATGGCTGAAAATTCAATAATTTCTTGCCATTTTGATAAATTGCATTCATCATTTTAAACTTCCTTTATGAACCTGACTGTTTCAGGTTCTGACAGATTAAATATTTATATTGAAAATTTGCTGTATTTGACCAGTGACAGATCCTGAAATGTTCTTCAATCTGTTGGCCGACACTCAGAGCCGACGGCTCGATGACCAGCGAGTGTCGCTTCCATCATTACCAGGCTTACAAAATGAAAAGGACACTGCTATGGGAGATTCAAGCTACTTGTGTTACATGGTCTCTAAAGTTCAAGTAAGGAATTTTCTTTGTTCTCTTTTAATACAAAGTATCAAAATGCTGCATGGAACTTGACTGCTTGAAATGATGACTGCTTTGAGTCTGTTTTAACAGGAATGCCACATTAAAACATTTGAGGCAGATTTTCCACAGCTGTCAACTACAAGTGTAGCTTTTTAGTTAAGAGTTTAATAACCATATTATTTTATGTATTTATAGTCAACGTATTGATCAAAAATGCTGACCTAATCTATTTTCAGGGCTCCAGAATGGATGATCAAAGGTGTTCATTACCTCAAATCCTACCCCCAGAGACACCGTGTTCATCAAACAAGGATCAGTCTGAATCCGGTTTAAACCCATTACGGTCAGCCTCCTTCAGCTCCAGTTCAGACATCATAAAGCAACTAAAAAGTGAGGATAAAAATCCTCAAAAACAGGTATCTCCGCGCTTTCAGTTTTAGCCCCCCAAAAGAAATTGTAAACAGCATCGACACTAAACAATGAGGTTTTAGATCACCCCATTTCTTTTTGCATGTGTTATATTTTTGTATTATTCATTCACTTAACAAAATTCACATTATCCCATCTAGTTCTTGACTCCAGCTGAACAGGAAGATCTTTTTACCTTAATTAGTAATTCCCACCATGGCCGGATGGATGAACAGCGATGTGTCCTAAATGCTACACCCCAGTCCACACCTAAGCACCATTTCAGTCAAAGTGAAATCCCCCAAGGTCAGAAAACAGAAAATTTTCCCTTTGGTTTTTTTTTTGCATTTGATATTTTTTCTAAATGAAAACTCAGTTGTTTTGTACGTTGATATATAACAGCGCATATATTTCTCAATGAAGCTAACAAGTATTTTATTTTTCTCTAACATCCAATGCCCAGATTCTGATAATTTCTTCAGCTTACTGGCCAACTCACAGGGCCGACGGCTGGACGACCAGAGAGTGTCCCTTCCTTCATTACCTGGAATACAGAATGGAGGTACCACATTAACACCCACTGCTGCTGAGACGGATGCAAGCTACTTGTGTTATCTGGTTTCCAAAGTCCAGGTTGGCCCTATATGTAACATTGCGAAAAGTTATTCACAGCTTTTGTTTCTTTGTTAAGTATCCACGAAGTTTTTGCACATATAGATTTATCAGTTTTGCTTCAATCAAACTTTTTACCCACAGGGCTCAAGGATGGATGAACAGAGATGTTCTGCACCCCACATCTTCCAGAATCTGGGTACTCCATCAGCTCAGCGCACATCTGATAAACCTCCTTGGAGGTCTGCCTCATTAAACCGTGACAAAACTGAACAGCGTGGGCAGGTCAATGTTCATACCACATATCACTCAACATTGTTTTACCTATACTTTTTCTGCCCTGTAATTTTATATTTCTTAAGCAAGCCACAAAAACTATATAGTGATTGACTAGAACTTTTATTATCTAGTCTTTTAAAGAAATAACATAGCTGTATTGATTGCTTAATGGCAGCCTCTGTTTGCTATGTCTTTTTGAGAGTTGTCCCATTTCTTATGACATATCTTTCTGTAAAACAATTTAGGGAATATCCGCAGCTGAAGAGGAGCAGTTCCTTAAAATGATAAGTCGAATACAAAGTGGACGCATGGAAGAGCAACGCTGCTTTTTACAACCCAGCAGAAGCACACCTTCCTCACCTACACACAATGGCAGTGCTTTGAATAAAGTACCCATAGGTCAGAAAAATGCACAGTGCACTTGAATATGAGTATTTTGTCTCTGAAATGTCAAGAATAATTATTTCAGGCGCAGAAGCAGAGGCGTTCTTCAAAATCATCACCTCCAGTCAGTCGCGACGACTAGATGATCAGCGCGTTGCACTTCCTACCTTGCCAGGGATAAGTGGAAATTCTGAAGGAAAAGTAGACATACAACGACATACAACAGCTGAAATCCCAGTAAGTTACACAACATCTAAATTATTGGTACTGTGAAAATTAAGAAAAGTGTAATAAATGTGGTTATATATATATTCTTTTAACTCTATGCAAGTTAAGTGCATGCAGGACACCATGTCTCTCTCTCTCTCAGTTTGTCATACTTAGAGACCCATCATATCCAACCATTAAATGTAACTGTAAATGACCATTATGTAGACCTTAGGCTATCTCTCGTAACCTTTGGCTTGTCTACAGTACTGTAACTACACAACCATGACCAAAATTTCTTTCATGGCTCTAAATGTAGTTACCACTCTGTCAAAAACCTCAATTAAGAGTGTTTTTCCACCATTCTACTGCTGATTATATTTTAATAAATTGCAACTGATCATTTGTTTTTCTGCAAAACACTTGCCAGTTTAACGGACTCTCATCATTTCTATTCTGTAAGGTCTCTCCACTACCACAGATCACAGTGGCTAAATGTACACCTACAACTTCAAAAAAGTGTCCTACACCTGCCTCACAACCTCAAATGGCATATGGAAAGCCTGCTTCCACCGAGGCCTTACCCAAATCTGCTTCACTTATTCCCAAGGGAGAATTTAAGAAGAAGTCTAATTTCCCAGCTAAGGTAAATTCTTCATTTTTCCATTTTTCAGTACATTCGAGTTTGTAGACAAATATATAACAAGTAAACACACATTAGTAGAGTATAACAAATTACCAGTATTTTTATTCTCTAAAATATTATATGTTTCTGTATGGGACAAACAGATTCTCCTTTTTGAAAGCCTCCTGAATTAGAAACACAAAGGCTGATATCCCAGTAAATGAAAAAAACAGAACAAAACAAAAAAAGCTGATAAGAGATTCTGTAACACTGTTTGAGTTCAGTGACTTGTGACATGTTACAGGTAACAGTGAGTGTATCTGTGAGCTTCACACCTCAGGAGGTAAGTTGTAAGATAACTTATTACCCAAAGGTACTGCCATAATAAAAGACGTGCCTTCAGTACTACTCTTTTCTTCTCTGGAAAATGAACAGAAGAATGCCAATGAGCCAGATGCATTTCCAGATGTCTATCTAACTCTTGGAGCCCCAGGGGACAACCTTGTGATACCTCTGAGTCCAGTATGTGGCAGGCCCTTGTCCTTTGACCTAAACCTTGTTATGAAGGAAGATGTTAAGTTCAGGCATCGCTCTCCAAGCCATTCCAGTCCCAGAAAAAACAACTCCAGGCCGCCATCTCCCAACAAAGGTGCGACTGGTAAAGCACATCCTACATGCTCACATGAACAGGGGAAGCTTGTGACCAGCCACAACAGTGCAGATGTAAACTCCTTCTCCCCAACTGAAAAGACTCACCTGGAGAAAGGAATGGCTCAAGAAGGACAAAAGGGGAAAGGAGAACTTGGAAAGGTGAGGGAAAAGGCACAGCATGGAAAAGGAAAGGGCGCTGTAAAGAAAGATATGAAGAAGAGTGGCAAATAATGTACTTGTAAATTATGGGATTTAAATGTAAAAAAAAAAAGTAGCAAAAAAATTGTATTTGTATTGCTAAAAGCTCTTATTAGAAATTATGTTGATTCTGCTTTATAGGGTCATTTGAAGGATAGTCCTTTGCTAGCTAAATTTACAGTACATATTGTGTCTATTGTTTTCAGTTTTGCAAATTTTCTAAATGTAAATACACTGTAAGGAATTTTATTCTTTGTGTCAATTATAATTGTAATCTTGAATTAAAACCTTTGGTCTGTTAAACTCTGTGAAGATGTGACAAAAACCAAACCAAAACAAACATGATAAAAAAAACCAACAGCAATAAATGGGGAATCATTTCCTTTGGTCTGAATTCTGAACTTTGACATCTGCATTTAGCATTGGAGCATATGGGTCGTCTACTCCACCCACAGAGCTGAAAACATGACCATATGAAGTAGAACATGCTAAGCAATAAAAAGAAAACATAATACTTTGGAAATTTTCACCATTTATTGAGGATTTACAGAGAAAGTTGTTCATATTGTATGAACTCTTAAATGCTGCAACTAGATTGCATTTCCTATTCAGCCGAGTCACTTCCCTGAAAGCAAGAGAGAGATACAGACCATAGAGTTAATGCTTATAGGGATATACTGCAGTAGGAATGCAATAACAAAAAGTATTGCAAATGAAATACCACCTTTCCGACTTCACGGCTCTTGGCTCTCAACTTGTTGACCTGGGACTCAGCAATGTCAGCACGCTCCTGAGCTTCCTCCAGCTCATGCTGGACCTTCCTGAGCCTGGACATGTGAGTGTTTGCCTGCTCCTCCTGTAAAGGATTTACAAAAATACTGACTTGGTTATAGGGGAGTCAATGGGCGTGCTATGAACCAAGCTGAAGCAGATTTGGCATATAATTGTAGTTGACTTACAGCCTCCTCAGACTGTCTCTTGTAAGCCTTGACTTTGAGCTGCAGCTTGTCCACCAGATCCTGAAGTCTGGTCACATTCTTCTTGTCTTCCTCAGTCTACACAAAATACAGCTGTTACTTAAGAGGTATTTGAGAAGAGACAAAGGGCACGTTTGCTTGTTGTTGGCAAAAGAAGACTTACCTGATAAGTGAGCTCCTTCACTCTCCTCTCATATTTGCGGACTCCTTTAACAGCATCAACACCACGTCTCTGCTCAGCTTCAAGTTCAGCTTCCAGTTCACGGACCTTTAATGCCATGATAAATAATTAACTTTGCTTCAAATATAAAGAAAAACTTAAATTCATATAATTTAATCAAAATATATTTTATGTATATAAGCATACAATATACACTTCATACCCTGGACTCCAGTTTCTGGAGCTGCTTCTTGCCACCCTTCATGGCGAGGTTCTCTGCCTCATCCAGACGGTGCTGCAGGTCCTTGACTGTGACCTCCAGGTTCTTCTTCATCCTTTCCAGGTGAGCACTGGTGTCCTGCTCCTTCTTCAGCTCCTCAGCCATCATGGCAGCCTAAAATAATTTTTTCCATTTAATTAATCTATTTAAAAATCTATGGCAACCTTTTATTATCACTGAAAGGAAGTGAAGTGTTTAATAGAACAGATTACTTAGAGATTTAAACTCACGTCAGTGATGGCTTTTTTTGCTTTCTCTTCAGCATTTCTTGCTTCCTGCACAGCATCATCCACCTCACTCTGGATCTGCACAAAATCGGCTTCGAGCTTCTTTTTCGTGTTCAGAAGACTGGTGTTCTAAAGGTTTAGGAAAGATTATATGATATAAATATGTTCTAAGTTCATATACCGGTACTAGATATTTACAGTAAATTTACAATGTATTTCCTAATTAAAATTACATTAGGTTAAATTTTTCTTGACATTATAAACAAACCTGAGAGTGAAGCAGTCCGACACGCTCGCTAGCATCAACCAACTCCTGCTCAGCTACTTTGCGTCCTCTCTCTGTCTGCTCCAGAGCGGCTCTCAGCTCCTCAATCTCAGCCACCATCAGACCATTTCTGCGCTCCACCATGGCGACCTGCTCCTTCATGTCTTCCTGTCCTCTGAGAGCTTCATCAAGGTGCAGCTGGGCATCCTGATGAAATAAATCAATCAATAAATAAGTACTTATTCTGTTTCTTTAACTAATGATATGGAAAAAAGGTCACCTTGAGCTGTCCTTGGACATTCCTCAGTTGTTTCTGGGCCTCAGCAGCCTGTCTGTTGGCATGGCTCAGCTGAATCTCCATCTCATTCAGGTCTCCCTCCATCTTCTTCTTGACTCTCAGGGCATCATTCCTGCTCCTGACCTCAGCATCAAGAGTGCTCTGCATGGAGTCAATCACCCTCTGGCTGTTCCTCTTGATCTGCTCCATCTCCTCGTCCTTCTCTGCTAGCTTCCTGTCGATCTCACTTTTGACTTGGTTTAGCTCAAGCTGAATACGAAGAATCTTGGATTCTTCATGTTCCAGAGTGCCCTGCGAGATAAGTCAGATAAGTAACAAATACCAAGTAGAATCATCAAAATAAATAATATTGACATAAAAAATATTAAACCTCTGCTTCTTCAAGGGCAGTCTGAATCTCAGCCTTTTCACTTTCTACAGTCTTCTTGGCTTTTTCCAGCTCATGGATGCTCTTTCCAGTCTCACCAATCTGCTCAGTCAGATCTGAGATCTCCTCTAAAGTAGAAAAATGAACCAAACTGTTGTTATTATCTTAGATCCAGATCTATATTCTTTGACATTTTTTGTCAAGTTATGGGTGCATACGCTGCAGGTTCTTGTTCTCTCTCTTCATGGTCTCAAGATGATCCAGAGCCTCTTCATATGAGTTCTTCATCTTGAACAACTCAGTGCTGAGAGAACGAGCCTCCTTTTGGGCTCCTTCCAGCTCTGCCTGGCTCTCCTCATACTTCTGTTTCCATTCTGCCAGGACCTATTTTAATATAGGTTATTCAGTTAGTTGTCATTATTGGTGTATTCCTCTTGTTAGCATATTGGCTATGTTTAAACTTTACTTTATCAAAGTTCCTCTGCTTCTTGTCAAGGTTGGCAGCCAGAGAATTAGCTCTCTCCACATCAGTCATGAGGTCCTCCACCTCACCCTGCAGCCTCTGCTTGGTCTTCTCCAGTGAGGCACACTTGGAGTTCACAGCCTCAATGGATTCCTCAGCCTCCTGCAGGCGCTGGGCAAGCTTTTTCCTGCAATTTGCAAAAATTTGCTTGTATTAATTCCATTATGTATTAAAAGTAATACAGTATTACATTTTTATTCACAAAAGAGAAGAAAGCATTTATGTACTTGGCCTCCTCCAGCTCCTCAGTGCGCTGGATGGCATCAGTCTCATATTTGGATCGCCACTGAGCCACCTCACTGTTGGCCTTGGACATTCCTCGCTGCAGCTCAGCCTTGGCCTCCTGCTCCTCCTCAAACTGCTCTCTGAGCAGATCACAGTCATGACGTGCTGACTGAACAGCATGAGCCAGGGCATTCTTGGCCTGTTGTTAATAATAATACATTTTAAATAATAATAAATGTCTTTGCTTTTCTTTTATCTCTCAGTGAGCATGTTGACAAAGTAATGTAAAGTTATTCTAAATCTGAGATATAGGTTGTGACATATAGTTAATGTGAGATAAGTTGACATTAAGTAACTTGCATTTATTCTTGTTTTCACTTGCAGATCCATGGTTCATCAATGTTCTTTTACAATGTATGTAATGCTGAATATAATACTTCTTTAATATGACATCTGGTACCTTCACTTCCTCCTCAGTATGTCGCTTAAGCTCTTCAATCTGTTGAGTGTAAGCCTGTTTGCCTCTGGTAAGCTGGGAAATAAGAGCTTCCTTTTCCTCAAGCTGACGAGAAAATTCACCTGGGCAAAACAGATTAAAGAAAAATACTTTTCATAACTGAAAAATCACCATGTATTTTAAACACAAACAATATCATCTGTTTGAAACTTAAATTGTTTCTGAACTTAAAACGGCTACTAAATGAAATACAGTTACATACTTCATATCTTTGGATACACACCATTCTCAGTTTGGAGTCTTGCCCTCTGTGCACTCATGTCGTTAAGCTGGCGAACATTCTCATCATTTTTGGACTTGAGCTCACTTAACTGGTCTTCAAGAGTTCGGCACATTTTCTCCAGATTGCCCTATAAATTGCACATAATTGTCATGACTCAAATCCAGGAAAGATATAACTGTTGCGCTCTTTCATTGTTTAGATAGCCGCTTTTTCTCAAAATTGCATACCTTTGCTTTGGCAACAGCCTCCATATTGCTTGCGAGGTCATCAATCTCCATCTTGTACTCGCTCTTCTCTTTCTCCAGCTTCTGTTTGACACGCTGGAGGTTGTCGATCTGCTCTCCGAGCTCTGCAACAGTGTCAGCCTGCTTCTTACGGAGAGCTGCTGCAGTAGCTTCATGCTGCAGAGTTGCTTCTTCAAGATCACGACGCAGTTTCTGGAACTCAGCCTCTCGCTTCTTGTTCATCTCAATCTGAGCAGCTGTTGCTCCTCCAGCTTCCTCAAGCCTCTCACTGATCTCTTCAAGCTCCCTGGAGAGGTCGGCTCTCTGCTTCTCTACCTTAGCCCGAGCTGCCCTCTCAGCCTCAATCTCCTCTTCCAGCTCTTCAATACGAGCCTTTAGGGTAATAACACCACAAAGACTTATTGAGTTGACATGTTTTAGTTTTACTGAACATAATATTCACCTAAAATAATGGTACCTGGAGTTCTTTGATCTTCTTCTGAAGCTGAGTACCAAGAGACTGCTCATCCTCAATCTTGCCAAGAAGCTGACTGATTTCAAAGTCCTTCCTGTAAATGGAGAAGACAAAGAAATGACTCTGACAGCTCTGTGGCTCTTCTGAATGCAAGTGTAGGAACTTTATCAGTGACTGTTTTTTACTTTTTGATTTTCTCGTCAGACTGCTGCTTGTCATTCTCCAGATCCATTATGGATTCCTGGGCCAGTTTCAAATCTCCCTCCAGCTTCCTCTTGGCTCTCTCAAGGTCCATGCGGAGCTTCTTCTCTTGCTCCAGTGAACCCTCAAGCTATTAAAAAATGTTACATATTTTTTACAACTGAATAATTCATAATAATATAAAATTTTAATTTTAAAAAGATGATGTTTTCTTACATCATCAACTTGTTGTTCCAGTTTTGTCTTGGCTTTGGTCAGAGTGTTGACTTTGTCTTCCTCTGCCTGGAGATCATCCAGTGTTTGTTGATGGGCCTCTTGTAAGGCTTTCTTCTCCTTAGTCAACTTGGCAATTGACTCATCTTGAGATGCCATCTCCTCTGTCAGGTTTTTCACCTGAAATAAATAAT